CCCCAAAACCCCAAAACCCCAAAACCCCTCCTTTGAAAATTTAAGGGCAAAAGGAGGATAGTATAAATTAAGAATAAGCTCGATTTTCACTGCTAAATTAAGGGACTATGTTTTTTGTTTTGTACACTACTCCGTATTCTATCCTCCTACTATTATTCTAATGGTTTATAGAGAGGCCTATCATATTACTAGGACTGACCTTTACTTTACTTGTTTGGTTCTATTATATTAAGCTGGTTGAATGTCCCTAAAGCAGTTTTATATGCTCGCTCATCTGTGTATTTGGAGCTTCTATCCTATTGAAATACAATTAACAGATAAAATTTTCATACCGGTTCTAACAATAGCACCGAGTTTTAAGGTTCTCAATTTATGGTTAAATTATTTTTCAATGGAGCAGCTGAGCTTCCCATATTTCTGCTACCTGCAACCATCATTTTTTAAGGTGATGATCCAGTTGCATCATTCATAACTTTCTTAAGTTCTTCATAATCCAAAAGGTAGACATTTCCGCCATCACCTCCAACATCGGACTGTTAGTGATGCCAAAGCTCCCCAAGTGCCTTAATCTCTTCCTCACTTATGGTGACTCTCTTCTTAGAGGGTCTGTTAATCCTGCTTAACTAAGACTTGTTCAAAATGGTGGGAACACTTCTCATTCTTAAATCGTTGAAATTTCCTGGTTAAAAGGGCTTGATTTGTTAATTCCTATAAGACGCTGTATTAAAGGTCTCGAGAAGCTTTTCATCCTTAATATTGTAGTAATCTATCTCCTCATCTGAATTATAATTAAAGTCTCCCTTCTTTTTCATATTATCGTGCACTTTTGAAAGTCCATCAGGATTATAATTATGAGCAAATTAGGGTGAGTTTTATTCGTCAGGCTACTATCCACTTGATGCATGCTAGTTAATCTGACTAGCTTTCTCCTCTTCTTTTAGTCTATTTTAAACATTTTCAACTGCTGGATTTTACTTTGCCTACACCTTAATTACAAAGTTTTTATCATCTTAAGGCTTTTTTTCGAGAGATGCTAATTTTGATCTAGCTTAGGCCTGAGGATTTTAAGGCCCTCCTTTTCTATATTAAGGAATTTGTGGTAACTCATTTCCATTTGCTTTCTATTGAGTTTCGGGAGCTAAAACACGCCTCATCATTATACCTCCAACTAAATTGATTTTCTCACTATCTCCATTCTGCCTCATTTAGAATCTAAGCATTGGTGTATTATCCCTTTGATGGCTATTATTAGTCAAGAACGGAGATTATGGCACATGTCTATCTAGGCCTCTTCCTGCAAGTACAGGAGTACAAGTGATCATATTAATATCTTCACTTTTGAAATCCTTAGTGTCAAGTTACATTTCTTACTCTAAAAGAATAATATTCTCCCTGAAGTCAGCCAGTGCGTTGTTATTTGTATTTTCAGTATTGAACCATTAATGCTATAATGCCTCTTTGGCGTTTATTCTGTTTCTTGGATCTTTTTGAAGCATTTTTCCAACTAAGTCTTTAGCCTCTACAGAGATTTTCTCCCAGTATTTAGGTGGATATTAAACATCGCCTCTCTTATTTTTCATTAATATCTCATGAATGTTTCCTCCTGGAAAAGCTGGCCTGCCAGTTAACCTATGTTTAAAATTAAGCTTATAACATGATTTACATTACATAGAGTATTACACCAGCGCTAAAGATATCAGCTTTAGTATAATAACCCTTATCTTCAAGAAGTTCGGGTGCAACATAGCCTGGTGATCCACATCTTAAGAATAGAAGCTATCCTTTTTCCATGAAAGAAGCCAATCCAAAATCAGCTATCTTCAAGTTGTAATCATTATCCTTTGAAGCCAAAATCAAGTTTTCAGGTTTGAGATCCCTATGAACAATTCCTCTCTAATGAAGGTAGTCCAGAGCCTGAAGCAAATTTCTCATAACATTAATAGCATCTTTTTCTTAGTAGAGTCCTTTAGATTTGATCCTTTCGAAAAGCTCTCCTCCTTCAAGATATTCGAAAACCAAATGAATATATTTATCGCTTTCATAGACTTCATATAGTTTGATGATGTGATCGTGCTGAATTTATCTTAAAATGTCAATTTCAAGTAAAATAGAGCTCTAAAAAATTTAGTTAAGTTTCTGGATAAAAATAATTACTGCATTTCTCTTAGATTTTCTTATTAGAGCTTTTTCAACAGACTTCAAAGCAAAACTCTTATCATCTGTTTTTCTCCGGCAAAGATGGACCTTGGCAAAATTTCCTTTTCCTATAAGGGATCCAATTGTATAGTCCTCTTTAAGGTCTACGAGAATTACTGAGTCCTTGAGAATATCGATCCACTACTCAATATGCTTCTTATTTTAGTGATAAAATTCAATCTAATTCCCTTTACCCATCAGAATAAAGCCATAGACATAATTTCTAAAATATATTGGTAATTAGAACATCACTTTTAGAAACAGTATTATAAAAGTTTTATCGAAAACACCTACCCTCCTTCATCTGTGAAATGCATTTTCTTTAGTCTACAGTATTTGATATTCAAGATTCCACGTTCTTATGTATCTGCCAAAGACTAAATTAGAATGAGGAAAATAAGGTATTGATACATTGAATTGAAGTACTCTTTACTCAGTATATATGAAGTATTTTTCTTTTAATTCACTTTCAGAATTCTTGGACTTTTTGAATAATGGCCCTGAAAACTTCATACTAGGATATTCGTCCTTTTTAAGACCAAGATTAAACTTTTCGAACAGAAAAGGGTTATTCTTGCAGTCCTCCTCTTTTTCAAAGATTGTCGAATGTAAAAATTGATTTCTCATTGTATTTTATTAACCCAATACTTAATCTTTACTTTTATATAATTTTGAAACTGAATTAATTATTAATTCTACCAACTAAATAATTATATCTGGATTCAGTTCTATGGGGTTTTGGGGTTTTGGGGTTTTGGGG